AGGAGGTGACCCTGTACCCCTGAACATCGCCAGGGAAGTCCTTACGAAAATGACTTCCTCGATCGTTAATTCTGATTCCTTCTGCTCCCCAATATTGCATTTGCTCTTTAGCAACTGAGCTATTTCAAAAGAAAACAAACAAAAAGCTTTAAAAAGGGTCAGGGAGATTGCACAGTTACGGAGCACTCTCTCTGCCCATGTGAGGCTCTGAGTTCAATGCTAGGCATTGCCGAGAGGTAAAAAGATTAATGACACAGCTGAGTAGACCCTCTTGGCCACTTCTTGGGATCCTGCCTGTCACCTTCTCCAGGCTCACAAATGAGGGAAATGAGGAAGCGTTTGAGGAAGCTTGGAGTGTGTGCATGGCTGGGGTCACCAGCTGGCAGGTGCAGAGGGTCTGAGAGCGCAAGGATGGGCTTGATTCTGCAGCTGTGCCCCCCTCCTCCCAGGAAAGACCAGCCCAGCTGGAACCTCAACTTGGTTAAGTTGTAACGCAGGCAGAATTCTTTTAGTGGTTTTCATCATCAGTTAAAGAAATCACAAAAAGGTGTTCCCAGAGAAACTTTTCAAGTTTGCTCACAGGATGGAAAAATCTGAGAACGGGGGCATTGGGCTGTCTAGACAAGTCTATTTTTGACAAAGGCTTGGGTACTGTCATTTTCTATTCAAGAGAACAGCTCCAAACATAGACACATGACCATCTAACCAGTAGTCCAGGGTTAACACAAAGTCATCTTTATTGGGGCTGGGGAGAGAGCTGAAAGGGCTGGAGCACAAGCTTTGTGTGCACGAGACCTACATATCATGGCCGCCACTGTAAGCCTCTAAGAGGGGTGTGGAGTAGCCCCTGCACTGCCACGTGTGGTCCCCAAACAAAACAAGATTCTAGTGCTGAAATTATTAAATAAAACTTGATTTTATTTAATGGAATTCAAGAGGCTAACATGGGATTAGATGCTTATTACATACACTACAAAGATGCAAAGACCTGGTGTGGTATGACTCAAAATGAGAGAGCACATAGTTTGGCATTTGTGGGATTTTGGGTTTCATCACTGGCACTGCATGACCACCCCCTTCTCCCTAGCCCTGCCAACTGTGACCCAGGTGGCCCCTAAGAACCAACTACTGATGTGGCCCCACTGGGGAAAAAAATGCAATGACCTTCTTCCTCTGTGCCCTACATCCCGTGTTTTACATTCAGCTGGCTCTGGGGTTCTCAACCTCCTTCATGTGACTCGTCGCTAAATCCCAAATCCAGGACTTCTGTGAGCTCTTTGAAGCCTGAGAATTGGCCTTTCGAATGAGTTCCAAGGAGGCTGGTCTGTGGACCACACTCGGAGAAGTGCTGGGATGGCAGTGGGGCCGGTGACAGGGCGCTTCTCTGCCCAGCACCTGTGGTTGCACCACACAGCAAGTTCGCACCTGGGGGTGGTTGGGGAATCACGAAGAAGGTCCAAGGCACATGGTGGAAGGGCAGGGGCAGGAGCCTGGAGACCTCTCAGAAGGAAACCGAGTGAAGGGCACATTGAGGAATTGCAGTGAGCGGGAGAAGCCCCCCATTCCACTGCCATGTGGAGTGATTGCTTTATTGAGTTTGATTGCTGAGGTGGTGACAAGATCTGTACCTAAAACAGATGGATAAGGCCCTGGAGATTTTATAGTCTCCCCTTCTGTATTAAATAGCAGAAATGGACAAGTTCTTTGAACTTTCATAATGATACTCATTTTCCTTGACAGTGTGTATTAATCGCCAGATGGGGAACTCTTTCTTTGGGGCAAATACGGTCATAAAGATAAGCCGTGACAATTAAATGACCACATTTCTTTTATTTTGTCAGTATGGTTGGAATCGGAGTTGAACATGATAAGATGCACACAGCTTTTTTCTCCTTCAGAGTTCCTAGACATAATTTTTGATGTCTGTGTTCACTTGGAAACATCAAGGCAAAAAAGGATGCAAGTTTGAAAACCAAGTTTTCCATTTGGGTGGGTTATAAAATGGTGATTCACATGTTACTTTATTTAAGAAATCAAAAATATGGCCATGTATGGCCATGAAATAATTGGAATTCTCCCCTCCACATAAGGTCAATAGCCGAAAAAAATCATCCATGTCTATTTCAAAAGCCTACTTATAAAAACAAAAAAAAAAATCATTTCAGTTGCATAGGAAAAAGAAGCATGAGTACTCTTTCTAGAAAGTGTCAATCATTAGGATAACTAATATTGAAAATCCCAAATACCGTACTCCTACATTAAAAAAAATAGTAAAAAAAATCCCAAATACCTTGGTGATAGCAATATTCAGGAAATAATAGTTTATGGTAAACGTTTTTAATAAACAGCAGCATAAAATAATCAGTGTTTAATATCATCTCTGGTGTGTGAAATACAAATGCATATATCCTCCATATGAAATACCCTTTTGCCATTACAATTCCATGCTTGTCTATTTGAAATGCCCAAAATAACAAATCAAACATTAAGTAATACAGTGATTAAATGCATGCAGTGAAAATAAGATGGCGGGGCAAGATCTCTGACTATTGCCATTATATATTTGAAGAAAATCTACAGTTAAGAACAATGAAGAAAACAAGGAGACAGACCAGCTATAAAAATGCAAAGCTATATTTTCACTTCTGTGATACAAACCATAAACATAGTTTTGTGCAAACAAAAATTCTGAAAATAAAGTCATCTTACAAAACATTGTCAACAAAGCCAAAGATATTTTTCAGTTTGTGAAAAAAAAATATACTAGTTCAATACAAAAGGGACTGTGTTATGTAGGATCACAGTGCTATTACAAAATACATAATTACAAGTGGTTTTGAAATTTAGATCTGCTCACCTTACGGACTTCAGTAATTATAAAATGCTTAAAATAAATGTTATAGTTCTTTATAAAAAACTAACTTGAATTTATTTATCCATAGTAATGTTTTTTTTCCAGAGTTAGGTATTTTACTGGCTCATGGGATGCTACTTTCCCTTTAAGGGAACTCCTAGACAAACTCAAGATTCACTGAAGTTCTGTTTACTTAAAGTAATAAATATTCTTGGAAAAGAATTGATTGTCGTAGGATATACAAAACTGTGGTTTGAATCTTCATCATTAAACAGTTGCATAGCAACAAAAGGATACAAATATTCTCCTCTACCTAAAGTTAAGAAATGGAACGTTTGCATCAGCTTATTTTTGTCACCCACATATGTCTTCATTTAGCTACCAAAAAAAGAAAAATCGAGGTCCTGCCAACTCTGTGTTCACAGAACCTTTAAGCCCACGTTTGCTGTGTGACGTCGGCAAAACGTCAATATGTTTAGGCCAACACTTTCCCATTTCATCATTTCCCATGTATTTTTAAACATTAAGCCATCAACTTCTTTCTAGTTTGCTTACATTCTCCTCATCAAATATAATTTCTAGGAATTTCTTCCTCTCCTGTTTCTTTAGCTTAAGATGAAAAAAGGACACTTTGAGATAAGTTCTTAGAATAAACGAGTATTTTTTTAATTAACAGGAAATGCAAACTTAAATGTCCTTTCTCTACAGAACTTGCAACCCATAAAGAATTCTAAAGCTAGCAAAAATAGGGCCAGCAGGTAAATGGCACTAGATGGACATTCTGATACTTTCCTCTAAGGCCAAAATCATCCTGTGGCTTTGATTTACCAGCCTAAAAATTTTACTTCTCAGTTCCCTTTGAAGTAAGAACTTGTGACTTGCTGTTTTTCTTGGGGAGGGGGGGTTCCTTTTAAAATAGTGAAATAGTTCACAAAGTAGAATTCAGTCTCTTTGGATACCCACTAACTCTATGAATAAAAACGATCATAACTTGGTGTGGAAATAAAGTCTGTGCACATTTTCAGATTCCCCCCCCCCAAAAAAAAATAAAGTGAGAGAATTTTAAATGTACTAGCTATGGGTGTCCGTCCTAGTTCTGCAGAGTCTCTACTTCTGCAGAGTCAACTCAGGATGTGTGCCCCTCCACCCTCTGGGCCATGATGGGGAACAGGTGGGTGCCAGCACCTAGTTGACCATCTACAAACCCTTCCCTTCTCCCAGGTTACTGGTCCCTGGGAAGCGCCTTCGAGGCTGTCCCTACAGGAAAGGCTATCTCTCTCTTGTAGATGCTGACCTAACTTTAGATGCCTTTCTTTCCCTGTCCCTGCCCGCTTTGGCAATGCCTTCCTCGGGCAATAGAATGAGTTATCCACCATCAATACCAGTATCTCCATCTAGTCCGAGGAGGGCGTGTACAGAACACCTGGGAGGCAAGGTTTTCCTGATTAGCAGAGGAGATTCACGAAGAGGCACATGTGGTACTTTCCCCAAAGAAGCCCTACTGGTTAGGCAGTCGCAGGGCACCTGGACTGGTCCTATGGCTCATTTCCAAAGTTGGCCTAAGGTGTCATCATTGATTCTGAGCATCCCTTCCATATAAGCATGCATAGAGTCTAAAGTGAATCAACCGAATTCCTGAACATCTGTCCGAAAGCGAAGTCAGCAGGTAGACAAATGCCACGGTATATACACGTTGGGGAGAGGCCAGTCCTGGCCACGGGCAGTGAGCACACAAAACACCACTCGGTCTTCCTTTGGGGGTTCGCTGTTCGGTGGTGAGGCTCTCTTCCTCATCACGGGGGGAACAGTCTTCAGTACCGGAAACCACTCAGACCCCTCCCAAGGCACGGTGTGCATCCTGCATCCCGACAGAATGAACCATCCTACCATGATTTGGCGTTTTTCTTTTCTCTCTTTTGGCTTGGCTGGGTGTCTGCCCTGCTTGGGGTGGGGTGAGACCCAACTACACTTCACAGAAGGTACCTGTCGCCATGTCTGCTCCTCTTGAAATTTCCTTTGGGTGAAAACAACAACAACAACATTTGTATCTACATCTCTGCATCCCCCCCTACACGCCCCTTCACCCTGCATGCAGCTTCTGGGGGGGGGGGGGAAGCCCACCTCCGGCCGCCCCAGCAGCAGCGGGTTACAGTTCTGCAGAAATCATCGAGTCGGTGTGTCCGTGGATATTGGAGTCTCCTAGCAAAGAGGGCTGCTTCGAGTCCATTTTGTAGGGCTTCTGCGCCTTGTTGCCGAACACGGCGATGCCCATACCTCCGGGGTGGTTGGGCATCGCCGACAGGTGCGGGAGCAAGGGGATGTTGGCCTCCTGGTTGGAGCCGGACGAGGGCAGGCTGGTCACGTGGCCGGTGCTGGTGGAGCCGCTGGCGCTGCTGGGGGAGCGGCTCTTGGGGGGCGGGCAGTGCGGGATGACCCGGGGAGGCCCCGCGGGCTGGTAGTGGGCGGCCGGGAAGGCGGCGTAGCCGGGCGGGATCGGGTACCCGTTGATGGGGATGAAGCGCTGGTTCTGGGCCATCGGGGCGCCGATGAAGCCCGCGATCTGGCCCTGCGGGGCCAGGGGCTGGCCGGGGAACATGTAGTTGGGGTAGCGCGGGTTGCTGAGGTTGCTCACGGGGCTGGCGCTCAGGGAGGTGGTCTGCGTGGTGGCGTTGCCCCCCGACGGCGTGGTGGAGCTGGTGTGGCTCGAGAGCCCCTCCCAGGAGCGCAGGCGCACGTGGATGTCCTTGAAGCGGGGCCGGCGGGCCGGGATCTCGTGCCAGCACTCGGTCATGAGGCCGTACATGCGCGGCGGGCAGTCCTCGGAGCAGGGCAGCAGCTGCCGCTTGCGCACCATCTCGATCACCTCCTGGTTACTGAAGCCGTAGTAGGGCTGCAGGCCGAAGCTGAAGATCTCCCAGAGCACCACCCCGAAGGACCAGATGTCGGAGTCGGAGGAGAATTTGCCGTAGAGGATGGCCTCGGGGGCCATCCAGCGGATGGGCAGCAGGGACTTGGTCTGCACGCGGTAGTAGTCGGCCGAGTAGATCTCCCGGGAGATGCCCAGGTCAGAGATCTTGACGTGCAGCTGCTCTCCGATCAGGATGTTGCGCGCCGCCAGGTCCTTGTGCACGAAGAAGTGACTGGACAGGTACTCCATGCCCGCGGCGATCTGCACGGCGATGTGCAGGAAGTCCCCGTGGTCCAGGCTGGACTTCACCGTCCCGTCCTCGTCGCTGCTGCAGCCCACGTCGGAGTGCGGGGAGCGCATGATGAGGAACTCGTGCAGGTCGCCCTGGTTCATGTACTCGAACAGCATGCACACGGGCTGCTCCTGGGTGACGGCGCCCAGCAGGCAGACGATGTTGGGGTGGTGCAGCTCGGCCATCAGGGACGCCTCCTGCTGAAACTCGCTCCACTGCTGCGGGTTGTTACAGTCCTTCAAGGTCTTAATCGCCACCAGCTGCGCGTGGTCCATGCCCGGGAGATAGAGATGGCCCTTGTAGATCTTCCCAAAGGCGCACTCGCCCAACTCTTCCATGAAACGCACCGCGGAAAGGGGCAGCTCTTTGGCTTTGCTCTGTGAGAAAGAAAAGAAAGAGTGTTTAAGGCATTTTTTTTTTTGCTGTGCTAAGGGCTTACTCCTGGCTCTGTGCTCAGTCAACCATATGTGGTGGAGTGGGGGGAGGGATAACGAGGTTGGCTGTATGCAAAGCAAGCATCATATCCCCTGTAATATCTCTTCAGTCCCTAAAAATAAAAACATGTCTTTTGTTGGTGGGGGCTTGGGGCCGGATGTGGTGGTAGTCCCCATTGCTCCCAGTGTCACCCGGTGGACCAGACCAATCAGGGGCCAAACGTTGGCTTCCTGAATGCCAAGGTGTGCACCATCTCTGTGATCTCTCTCCCAAGTCCTTATTGCTTGCTACAACTTAGAGCAACTTAGAGCAATTGCCAATCGTACACTTCTTTTTAATATTCATACTCCTCTTATCTATTTTATTTTTTGTTTTTGCTTTTGTTTCTGGGCCAGACCTGGCAGTGCTCAGGGATTGCTCCTGGCTCTGTGCTCAGCGGTCACTTCTGCCAGTGTGCAGGGGACCATACAAGGTGCCAGGGTCAGCTGCAGTAAAGGCAGGTACCTTAACCCCTGTGCTACTTTTCCAGCTGTTTTTATCTTTAAGCAAATATGCATTCCTATTTTAATTTTCCTTTTTGGATGACATATGACAGGGGAAGAAAATATGAACCCCACAGACAATGCAGTATTAAATAAAAAAAAGGCAGAGTAATATTATGGGTCATAAGATCAAAATACATACATTTAACATTTCATTCACACTGTTATTGTATCTTTTATTGGCGTATCATTGGCTCACAAGAGTGTGAATGTTTAAGGGTCTTAGGGGTCCAGTGTCACCTCGCCACATACACCACCTAAGTTCTAATCTCCTCCATCACATTCCATCCAATGCCACGGCGACTCTATCACTCTCACAGCCCTGCCATTCACACCCTGATGCCAACCAGTGTGTCCAGTGTTATGCCCAGTCCTGCTACTCAGCGGAGGTCAGGGCCAGCCACTGGCCCCCAATTCAGACCCTTGGAAATCAGAATGCACCAGGACAGAGCCCAGGGTCTGGGATGAACGTGAGTGTGAGAAGCTGTGCACCAGGTGAGCCAGTCTGAACTCTCAATTTGGCACCGAGATGATGGGGTCAGATCCCCACCTCTGTGCCCCCTTCCCAGGAGAGCCCAGTCGAGTCCACGGAACTCATCAGCCATCTCCAGACACTGAGAATATTCTTCCCTTCCCATTTTCCCTCAATACTCTCCAATTCTTTGGCTATTTACTGTGCTCAAAGTTGGAGAAGCCAAAACGAGGTGCTCACGGCAAAGGAAGATTTGGGGTATGCTCCCTCTACCAAGCATATCCTGGCTTCCTTGGAGACTCTCTCTGGTTTTACCCCAACTGAGCCCCTTTGATTTATCTGAGTGTCACCGTTTGGGACAGACCATGGGGTGGGAACTCTCCTATAAGACACTCACAACCAGACAATCCAAGCAGGAGTTCAATTCCCAGCAGCCTGCCATGCTGGAGAAAGATCACTGAACCACTCCCTCTAGCCTCAGTTATCACAGCTATAAAGTGGGATGGTAATGACTGCAAACAACTGCTATCTCTCAGCCCCTTATACATGATTGTGTGTGTGTGTGTGTGTGTTTATGTGTATGGGTGGGGGAAGAATGTTGGGGCTATACCCAGTGGTGTTCAGGACAAAACTAGGGTCAGCCACATGCAAGACAAAGCACCTTAACTCCTGTGTTAGCTCTCCTGCCTACCCTTATAAAATTTAAATAAGTAGATGTAAGGCACCCTGCATGATGTCTGGCACATGGTCAGGGCTATTTGATTTTCAGCGACCATTACTCTTCTGTATCCATTCTTTTTAAAACTATATTTTGTCCTCTCACCATATTTTAATATCTTGAAGGGAGGCACTGTTCTTCTTATCAATCAACACCCATGCTGCTTTTCAAGTGAGTGGGCTATTTACAGAGTAAGCTTAAAACAGATAGGAGAAAGCATCTATCTAGCTCACAATGACATTAAGTACGAAACTGTGACATTTGATCTCGATAGTAAATGTTTATAGTGTCATGTGTTTTTAGCTATTGTTGAAATTCGTCTCAAATCTAGTCTGACATTTAGTTTCATTAGTTAGGGAAAAAAGTCATAAAGGCAACGCATTTGTAAATAAACTGTGATTTTTAAAATAATCCCTGTACCTTAAATCTTTATATCTTAGATAACACTGCCGAACTATCTCAAGTGTAGTTAACAAAGTTGCAAATACATATGGGATTCAAAGCTCTGTACAGAGTTTAAAACAACAGCTTATAAACGTTTGAAAAAAAATGAAAAAGGAGATCAAAATAAAATCAAGGAAAAGTTTTCTCTGATCCACACTTTACTAATTTAAAAATCCATGACAGGGGGGTGGGAGGGATGCTGGGACCCGTGGTGGTGGAGGATGGGCACTGGTGGAGGGATGGGTACTTGATCATTGTATAACTGAAACCCAAGCACAAAAATTTATAAGTCTATAACTGTACCTCATGGTGTTTCACTAATAAAAAAATAAAAAAAAATCCATGAAAATGTGTTGTATTCTATGCTGGTTTTTTTCCAGCAAAATGCCCATTAACCTAATTATAAGTATAAATAAACTTGCAGCAAAATATCTACCTTTTTTTTGTTATTACCAATTTTATTTTGTTAAGAAATATGTCAAGAAAACTGAAGTCCAGTGAACTTCCAAAGTCAGAATTTTCCAAAGAAAAAAACACTGTCTTTAAAGACTGAAGAGATTAAAATAAAATATTAAATAAGATATTAAAATTATACATGCATCTATTGTTTGATGTATGTGAATTCACTATGTATTGAATTGGAAATATGGGAATAGTAGCACTGTCCTCCCATTGTTCATCGATTTGCTGGAGCGGGCACCAGTAATGTCTCACAACAAATTGTGAGACTTGTTGTTACTGTGTTTGGCATATTAAATATGTCACGGGGAGCTTGCCAGGCTTTGCCGTGTGGGCGAGACACTCTTGGTAGCTTGCCAGGCTCTCTGGGAGGGGCAGAGGAATCGAATCTGGGTCAGCCATGTCAACCACGTGCAAGGCAAACGCTTTACCTGCTGTGCTATCGCTCCCTTTAAAGTGGAATGGAGATTTCTGAAGCTTTAATTTTCCTATGCAAACAATAGCCCTCACTATCAATATCGCTCATTTATTCATTAGACCAGCTTTGGTGGAATTTATGTTTGGAACTGTCTTACAGGAACTGTCTTTCTTGCTTCTGCAGAAAGCCATGGTGAAGTCATTTCAAACAGTAAATAATTTTTTATTGATGTAGTCCAGTTATTTTATTGTTTAAGGTCACAAAAATGAGAAATGACCCAAAGTCCATCTAAAGGATACTGATCAAATAAATTAGCTGGGGTCTAATAAATAAAATGATAGGTGTAAAAATGAATGAGGATGCTTCCGATGTCTAGATAAACGTCTCCAAAATCCTATTGCTAAATTAAAAAAAAAGCACAAGAGGCTCAGGGGTAGCTCAGCTGGGTCAAGACTCTGCCTTGTAGCTGCAAGGGGACAAACTCAATCCCTGCTAAGGCACCCGGGCACCATCATCCCTGCTAAGTGTGATCTTGGAGGCATTGTGGCTTATCATTCCCAATGCCACAACAAAGCCCAGGGCTCTCTGGCACACTGAAAGAAGTGTGTGAGAGCACCACAATGAAAGGATGTGACTCCAGTCATTGCCTCAAAGCGGTGGGGAAGGAGAGTAGAAGAAAGCATAGGAATAGTTTGTGCTATATGCACTGCTTTTATGGGAAAGAGGAGGAAAAAGGATGATATTCCTATGTCTTCACAGAAGCATGGAGGAAGTTCAGAAAGATACTTGGGAAGCCGTGGTGCTTAGCACAGTGATACGGGGCTGAGAACCAGGAGAAAGGTTTTATTTCATCTTATTGAGCTTCTTATTGTTTGGGGGCCACACGTGGCTTTGCTCAGGGACCAGATGTGGTGCTGGGGGATTCCAAACCATGTTGGAGTTACTGCAGGCAAGGCAAGAGCCTTATCCTGTACCATCATTTGGCTCTGGGCTCAGGGGTCATTCCTGGCAGGACTTGAGGGACCAGTGGGGTGTTTGGGGTCAAACCATGTGCAAGGTGAGTGACTGCCTTACCAGCTGTACTATTGCTTCAGTCCCAGGAAAGACTTCTATTTTTCTTAAATTCAAGATTTTCTACATGTTTACATATTTGAGCCAAGTGACTATATTAACAATTCTCAAAAGCAAAAAAAAAAAAAAACAACCTGTGTGTGTGTGTGTGTGTGTGTGTGTGTGTGTGTGTTGTCAGGGATTGAACATATGTCTCATGCATGCAAGGCAAGTGATCTACTCCTGAGATATCCCTGAAGCTCTCTTGCATTTTATTTTTTAACTTAACAATAGGATTTCAGAGTTTTTTTTTTATATATCCACACATAGAATGTGTACTCCTGAATTCTTTTAATTATTTAATATTCTATTTATTAGATCTACCATACTCTACTGAGTCAAAAGTTACACTACTTAAAAAAAGAGACACAAAGCAAACTATTGTATAAAAAAGTATGACTTATGGCTGGGAGTATGGCTGAGTGTAAAGTGCGTGCCTTGCATACATGAGACCTAGATTCGACCCTTGGTCAATATATACAATTTATGTATTACATATATATAATAAATAAAAATATAAAAACATATTACAAATATATGATATACGCAAAATATGCATATATAAGTAGATATAGATGTTTATATTATCCATATATAGTTTATATATTATATTTTAATATATTTTATTATATATTATATTTAATACATTAAATGTTTATTTATTATATATTTGTTTATTGTTAAATATTTACTTAATATATTGAAATATTTTATATGTAATATAATTTTATTATATAGTATATCTAATATGATATATACCTATATATTGTACATAATTT